GCAATCACCTGTCTTCCGCGTTAGTTCTATCGACACCACTGATTTGTTGGAGCGCTCCATTGTTGGCGAGTAGTTTAAGGTATTCACAAAACTCTGATCCCAATTGTCTGATTTTGATTTCGAGTTCTTGATTATTTTTATAATTATTTTTTCTCTTTTTTTTAAAAAAGGCCAAATTGCATGTTTTAAATTTTGTTTTCTTTCACTTTGAGGTCTGTAAACCAAGAATTAGATGTCCAACAGTAGTATTGAAGAAGAACAACCTACCCTTAACACTTCTAGGCGCCGACTTATTAGACAATCTTTAGGAAAAGACCTTGGTCGAACTGGAGAAACCACTTCTTCACTTTCTGACAACATTGACGACCCTTTTCAACCGTTATCTGTAGAAGAACAAAAGAAGGTCTTTTACCGTCATAAATTATTAGCCAAGTGTGAAAAAGCAAACCGTCCTGTTAACCCTAACATACCGGGAGATACTGAAATCCTTGAGGTTGAACCGGTCAGTATTCGTTATCATTTGAGGAGTTTTGCTAATACTCATTTTGACCAATACGGCTCAAACGTGGGGCATATAGGTATAAATACTATGCCAAGAGTTAAGCGTACCAGCTATCAGCCTGAAGTTGCTGCTCGTGATGCTGCTGAAGAGGTCGAGTCAAGCAAAAAGGCTAAAGAAGATCAGGTTGCTAGCTCTTCCGAATCTGATGATATGGAAACCCCTCCAAACGCTGAGAGAAATCAGCAATCTCCAGTCCATGAATCGGCCGTTAACTCTGTTTTGGGTGATGACGATACTCAAGAGGATAGTGTTAATACTGATAGTAGGAACGACATAATCGATATGACGGCTGAAATTATTCAAGAAGAGAATCTTGACGAAGGTTATAACTCTGAGACCGACGGGGCTGAATTTCGGCAGCCTATTGTTTTAGCTGCTAAAGGCAAAGTCGCAGAAGCTAAGATAAGCGACAAGTTTAGGCAAATGGCTTTGGAAAAAGATTATTGCCAGCATGCCAAACAATTTTATAAACTTCCGGACGGGTATGACCTTTGTCTTCCGCCTTCTGGATCTTAAGTGCTCGACTGCCCAGATGGCCATGTTGCCATTTACCTTAAGCACTTTGATTTCGGCCTTTGATTCCCCCTTCATCCTTTTGTGGCCAAAATTCTGAAGACCTAGAACGTTTGTCTTGTACAGCTTACCCCTCCCACCATTCGTGTCGTTATTGCCCTTATTTGGGTTCTGCTTCATAGAAATTATCCGTTAACCCTTAATGCATTCAGGCGGCTGTTAACTTTAAAGAGGGATGGCCAATCGGATGGGTGGTGGTCTTTATATACCCAACCTCACAAATATACCGTTCACCCTAAATTATCAAGCTGCAAAGGGTGGCAAGACAAGTTCTTTTTTATGTCGGTTCCTGATGATTTCCCACTCAGGAGGACATTCTTCCGGCCCCATCCAAGGTTTGAATCTATTCCCGAGAGAAATCTCGGCAAACATGAGCGTAGGGCCCTTTTATCTCACGTTGGTCTTTGCTGGACCGACCACTATGGTATTAACTTACTTATTAGTAATTAGCTTTTTCCACTGTGTTGTCTTCTTGTTAAGCCCCTCTTTTTCTTTATATACATGTTCATAATATGATTCTGACGTTATGCAAATTGTCCTTGCAGGTGTTGATAAGTTAGATAATAAATTACTAGGGCTCTCTGCTGACGTCAAGAGAGTTATCAGACGGTGCCCTAAGGCTACAAAGCCTTTGTACGATATCCTCACTACTCATTGTAGCCGCACTCCAACCGTCAGCGCCAAAAGAAAATCTGAGAAGATGGCTGACGAAAATGCCAAGAAAAGGAAACTAACCTCTCTTGCCAATCGACGGGGTAGTTTTCCCAGATCTGGCATTACTCGGCAACCTGAAGATCGCAGCAAGAAGAGTCAGGCCGAGAATAAGGATAAACCTCCTTCTCCAAGGGTTCAGGTGAAAACGGTTATTCAAAGTTCTGAACCAATCGTCAAAAAGGTGGTTGACATAATTGACGTTGAGGATCTTACCAACATTGAATCTCCTATCCCACCTCAACCTAACATACCTGACCGAACAGCTGCTCAAACTGTCATCACTACTGCTGGTGGTTCCGACACAAGCGCTCCTAGTCTTATCTACCAATCCAATCAATGGATCGAGCGCCCCAATAAGAGGATACCTGAGGTCGTTCTCAATGGATTCTCTGTCCCTCCCGGCCATTCTGAGGATAAATGGCAACCTACCATAGATGCATGTCGGAACAAGTCAATGATTACCGATGACCCTATGCTAGGTGGAACTCTAGGTTACCATCTTTTAAGCAATCTGACCCTCCCAATGGACAGGCCTGCTGGTGTCATCGACCCTTTGGCTGCTAGGCACATGCACAACATGATGAAGGTTCTCGCCCTTTAATTTTATAGCCTTTATTACACTTTGATATTTTTTATCATTATGTATATATCTTTTTACTGACTTTTCGCCTTTATTACTTCACAGGCTGTTATGTCTGGCACTGAGCTTGTTGAAATGTACCGGTTTTACCAAGAACAGCACCATCAAGCCTCTGCTAGCCAAAACGCACTCCAAACAGCCTTAGATAACGCTGATAAGGCTCTGCAGAACTTAAAGGAGGCAAAAGAAATAGACGATCTTGAGATGTCATCTCTCAGGGATAGAGCCTCTAAGGCTAAGGATCTTGAGCTGGAAGTGCAACAATTAAAGACCCAAATTACTGAGAAGAACAAAGTTATCAGCCGTGTCCCTACTCTTGAGAAGGATCTCGAGGCTGCCAAGGCCTCCATTCATGATCTTCAAGAAAAAGTCAATAAATTGGAAGAAGATAAGCCTGGAGTCCGGCAAAGGGCAGTTAAACGCTTCTTGACATCTCAGGAGTTTTGCACACGGCTTCAGAACCGCTTTGACGGGGGATGGACCGCTGCCCAAAGATGTATCGCCCATGTTGTCGGTTGGAAGAAAGAGGATTGGACTGCCGTTGAAAAGGCCTTTAACGAGGAAGTTTTCAAGATTCCATCTAGCTTTGAGGAGCAAGAGTTTGCATACGAAGATCTTTTCAACCTTGCTCCAGCAGACGATGAGGGTGTTTCAGATCCCAGCATCTTGGACTCTCCAGCTTCCGGCGGTACACAAGCTTAAAGGGGCGGGCAGTCATCACTGGCATCTTCTTGCGGGTCTTGCGTTTTTGGGCCTTATCAGCTTTGAATTAAATCCTATATTTATTTGCTTTTATTAGACTTTGTATCTGTAATGTTGTTATATCGGCATATGCCCTTTTTTGTGGTGATGCCTGTCGACTATTGCGTCTAACTACTTTGATCGTTTCATATCATCCTGAACATGTCACACTTACTTAAAACTTTTAATATATCATGCATTTTTACATTCGCCTTATCGTCTTTAAATAATTTTTATCAACTATCAGCTTTCTTTTTATATCTGCTTCACCGCCTTATGATTATCAGATTTTACAATTGATTTTATTAGTTATCAGCAATTTTATCATGGTTAAAGAAAAAACTTATGCATTTAAAAAATAATTCAAACACAAACTTATACGTAGATGTTATATCCATTTTACTCCCACAGTGTATATAGTTAAGAAATAACTTTATACACTTCTTGCTGGTTCATTGCATAGCCTTGATCACTTACTGCGCTATAGTTGTAGCCAGTGAAGTATCCTTTCGGCGATCGTATTCAAAGCTACGCTTCAATTCAGCATATACTTGCATCGATTTAACCGGTATTACACATTGAACCAGCAACCTCGCGAATCAATGTTTATAACTGATCAGGTTATAAGCTCATTGACTTCGCGGAAGTGGTTATTAGTTGTCCATCCTACATAACGATATTATGTTAAGTAGAGGATGCCTATATCATGAAAATTTGTCTTTGAAACTGATTATATTTATTGTTGATATTTTTCTGAACACTTAACATTGCTTATATTTCCAAGTATAACATATTACTCATAATATTTCTTTAATACAGCTGTGTTCCAAACATTTTTTAATGGCTTTCCATCCATTGCTTCTAAGTAATATGAACCATGCATTACCATATCTTTAATACGATATGGTCCTTCCCAATTTGTTGTTAACTTTCTGTCTTTGTTCCCTTTCCCGGTTGCAGCTGTTCTTCGTAGTACCATATCTCCTACAGCTAGAGGTCGGTGATTGACACGTTTGTTGTAAGCCTTTGTCTTTCTGTTCTTATATGCAGCTAATCTAATTGCTGCCTTTTCACGTACTTTCGGTAGGAAATCTAGTTGTTGTCGTAATAAAAGATCGTTCTGCTCTTCACAATAGTGCTGAATTCTAAATGTCGGCAATCCTACCTCTACCGGTACTACTGCTTCTGTCCCAAAAACCAATGTATGTAAAAGGCGATTCACCTGTTGCTTCTTTGGCCGTTGTTCTATTAGCCCACAATATTTCTGGCACCAAGTCAGCCCACAACCCCTTTGCATCTTCTATCTTCTTTTTAATTGTCGTTACTAGTTGTTTGTTAGACGCTTCCGCCTGTCCATTCGATTGCGGATGACACACCGCCGCATATGCAAACTTAACTTTGTACATTGATAAGAGCTATTTTACTAGCTTACAATCAAATTGAGATCCATGGTCGAAAACCATAGCCATCGGCAATCCAAACCTTGTGAAAATGTTCTTCCAAATGTATTTTTTTACCTCTGCTGCTGTTATCTTTGCTACCGGCTCAGCTTCAATCCATTTTGTGAAATAATCAACGGCTACTAATAAAAATTTCCTGCTGCCTGTTGCTGATGGAAATGGCCCTACTATATCCATCCCCCCATTGCGCGAAAGGAACTGGATTCAATATCGGTGTTAAATCATTTGGGGGGAGGTTGATAGCTGGCGCGAACTTTTGGCATTTTTCACACGCTTTTACATATCGAACTGCGTCTTCATTCATGGTCGGCTAGTAGTAGCCTCTTCTCATTGCTTCTCTTGATAGAAATCTCGGCCCGAGGTGATTACCACATGTACCTTCGTGTATTTCTTCAATCAACCTTTTTGACTCAAGATCACTTATGCACCTCATTAGTGGCAATGAAAAGCTTCTTTTATACAACTGCCCTTGGTGCATAATGAACCATACACTATCCTTCCGCAAATTTCGTGATTCCCCTTTATCTGCCGGTAACACCCCATGGATGAGATATGCTAGTATGTCATCATACCATTGGGCGGCCCTATCAACACAAAGTATTTGTTCTGGTGCTTCATTTATGTTATTCTCATCCAGAATTTCAACCATCACAGTTCTTTCTAAGTTATTAAAGCTCGAACTTGCCAACCTTGTCAAAGCATCTGCTTGCGCATTTTGAGCTCTCGGCACCAGCTTTACCTCAAAATACTGCAGCTGTGCTGTTAACTGCTTTACCTTTTCCAGGTATTTAATCATTGCTGGATCCCGTGTCTCATACTCTCCATTATATTGACTTGACACGAGTTGGGAATCAGTTATAAGTATTAGACGCTTTGCCTCAGCCGCAAGAGATAACTGGATTCCTGCCACCGCTGCTTCGTATTCAGCTTCATTGTTCGTTGCTCTGAATTTGAATTTTACTGCATATTCAAATACTTGCCCATCTGGTGACGTTATGACTATGCCAGCCCCTGACCCCATTGATGTCGCAGATCCATCCACAGATACCTGTGACATTATATGTTGGCAACAATAAACATGTCATAAGATAAATATGTATTTGATTTCTCTGTATATAAAAAGAAGAGAAAACACCAAAAACTTTATTAAATTTTGGTCATTAAATTACAAACTATTGAAACCTTCCAAGTGCCTATATCTTCTTCTTCATCCGTATATGAAGCCTCTACTATGAAGTCAGACAAGGCCTGTGCCTTTATTGATACCCTGGGCTTATAATGTATCTCATACTTCGATAATTCCACAGCCCATTTCAGCAATCTTCCTGATGTATCCATCTTGTGCAATGATTTCTCCAATGGATAATTCGTTAGAACATCTATCGGATGTGCATCAAAGTAGGGCCTTAACTTCCTTGCCGCAACCACCACTGCCAACGCCATTTTCTCAATTATTGGATACCGGCGCTCTGCCGCATTCAGTACATGACTAAAAAAGTATATCGGCATTTGTTGCTTCTTCCTCTCCACTACCAACACTGCAGCTATCGTCTTTGGAGACGTTGAGATGTATAATTACAACTGTTCCCCCCTTTCCGGCCTTGCAACCGTCGAGAGAGATTTCAAGTGATTTCGTACCACCTCTAGCGCGTCCCGCTGTTCTTTTCCCCATTCAAACACCTTGTTCTTCCGTAGAACCACAAAAAAGGGAAGTGCCTTATCAGCTGATTTGCTGATAAAACGAGTTAACCCTGCCATTCGGCCAGTCAATCTTTGTATATCTCGGATTGTCTTTGGCTGCTTCTTCTCAAGCACCGCATTCACCTTATCAGGACTTGCATCTATTCCCCGTTCGCTAACCATGAAGCCCAAAAACTTCCCTGATCAGACTCCGAATACACACTTCTCGGGATTCAATTTCATCTGATATTTTCGTAAAGTTTCAAATGTCTCCCTCAAGTCTGCTATGTGATCCTGCTTTTTCTTACTTTTAACAATTGTGTCATCTACATACACCTCCACGTTCTGGCCCTTTTGTCTCTCAAAAACCTTGTCAACCAACTTCTGATATGTTTCCCCAGCATTCTTTAACCCAAACGGCATGGCTTTATAGCAAAATATCCCAGCATTCGTTATGAAGGTCGTTTTCGATATGTCGGCTTTATGAAGGCTGACCTGATGATACCCTGAAAACGCATCTAAAAAGCTGAGCATCTCATGACCAGAAGTAGAATCCACCAGTCTGTCTATCTGGGGCAATGGATAACAATCCTTAGGACATGCCCTATTCAAATCGGTAAAGTCGACACACATTCGCCATTTTCCTGTCGGCTTTCTTACCATAACAACATTTGTCAACCACTCCGGATATGTGCACGGCTCAATAAAACCCGCCGCTAAGAGCTTGTTAACCTCAGCCTGTATAGCTTCTATCTTCTCAGTAGAGAAGTTCCGCTTTTCTGTCTTACCGGCCTGAACCCCCTGTTGACATTCAATTTATGTTCCATCACCCCTGGGTGTATTCTTGGCATTTCACTCGCTGAGAAAGCAAAGACATCTGCATTTTCGCGCAACAGGCTTATCAGATTACACCTCATGTCAACATCCATATCGGCTCCAACCCTAACCGTTATGCTGGAGTCACCCGGCTGCAACTCAACCTGCACCATTTCCCTTCCTGGTAACGGTCTCGGAGCTGTTTCCGGCCTTGTATCAAAGTTACCCATGGATAAGTTACGTACTGTGGGCTCCAGCTCCTTTTTAGGATTACTCGGTACTGATCCATCTCCAACCGGATTCTTCAAAGCCGTTAAATAACAAGACTTCGCCATAACTTGCCCTCCATGAACCTTTTCCACAGCTCCCAAATTTGACACATAAGCTATTGTCAAATGGTATGTTGATACAACAGCTTGGATATCGTGAATTATCGGCCTTCCAATAATCGCATTATAAGCCGATGGAACATTGACTACCAAAAACTCTTCCATCACATCTCTCGCTGTAGGCCCATCACCCAGTCGTACTGGCAAGACTATGCTCCCCTCTGGCCGTACTGAAGACCCATTAAATCCAATAACTGGGTACGATACCGGCGTCAGGTATTGCCTTCCTATCATCATCTCATTAAAGGCCTTCATAAAAAGAACATTAGCTGAACTTCCTCCATCTACCAGAACTCTTTTTATGTCAGCTCCGTTAATCTTTGTTATCAGCACCAGCGGGTCATCATGCGGAAAGACTATCCCCCTTTTATCCTCTTCAGTGAACACAACATCTGGGATTGAAGTTGGCCTAGGGCGGCTATCGGTATCCAGGGCATTAATTATATGGCGGTGCTCTGATAAGTGCTTCTTTGCTCCACTGATCGTCCCTCCATGCACCAGCCCTTCGATTATCACATCAACTCCTCTACCCGTTGATAACGGCGGCATTCCTCTACCTCCCTGTCGGATCACACTACCCTGCGGCCTTTCTGGCCTTACCTCAAGTTGCTGCCTTTCAAATTGCCGGGGTGGCGGCTAGTTTCCACTCGCATTTAGCCGGTACTGAGATAAATGACCCTTTCTTATCAGCTCTTCTATGTTATCCTTCCGCTGCGTACATTCCTCTGTATAGTGACCCACATCTCTATGAAACATGCAATATTTTTTGGCATCTCTGGGTTTAGCCTTCATTGGAATCGGCCTCGTCCATCCTTCCCTACTCTGATTTACTGCGTAGATTGTCGCCCTTGGTGTATTAAGGGGGTATATGAACTGTATCGCATTGGTTGTTTTGCTGCCCTTGCCTCCTGACGACTTCCACCCCTTCCCGGGGCATGAACTCTTGATCTCACACTTCCGGAGGTTGCTCCCTCAGCCTGATACCTTCCAGCTGATATACCCTTACTGCTTGTCTTCATCAACTCTTCACATTTTATGTAATCATGTGCCTTGCTGAAGGCGGCTGCCAACGTACGAAAATTCTTTCTTGTGAGATATCTCTTGAACTCAGAATCATTCAAGCCATTCATGAGAGCCATTACAGATGTTTCTTGTTGCAATTTTGGGATTGTGTTTGCCTCATTATTAAACCGTCTGATATAGTCTCTCAAAGATTCATTCGGTCATTGTTCTACTGCCATTAATTCCCCCGAAGTCCTTTGTCTCACACTGTTGCTGATATATTGCCCAACAAACATCTCTGTCAATTTTTTTAAAGCTGTCTATAGTTCCATTTCCTAGGTTGTTAAACCAATTTGCCGCTGCCCCCGTCAAAGTAGTCGGAAAAACTTTGCACCATGCAGCGTCCGAATTTGTATACAAGATCATGTGCCCTTCATAAGAGGTTATATACCGGCCTGGATCCCCTCTTCCATCATATCAACATGTTGGCATCTTTATCTTTTCCATAGGCTGGTCTAAGATCCCTTGTGTAAATGGCGATGCCCTCAACTGGACTATCGTTCGCACTGCCCCTTGCTGCTGATTTTCGGTGCTTATAACGGGACCTGTAGATTGAACTTCTGACTCCCATTGAGTCGGCTGTGATCTTATCGGCGACTTGTCATGTCGACGCCTCTGCGAATTACCGGCCCGATTTGATTGGTTTCCATGACCAGATAGTGGCACCCCTTCCCCATCTTTGGTTGCCCTAGCCTCCTTCCTTTTTCTACTCATGGCACTCATTACCCTCGCTGTTGTTTCAAGTTCTTCTGGCTTGAACTCAGCCATTGGATCCTGATCCCCTTCTCCTTGACCTTCTGGGGTTAACGGCATATGGAAATGGTTACCTTCTAAAGTATGGGTTTCATCTTCAATTTCAATTTCCGGATTCGGCACCCCAGTTCCCACTCTAATTGTCCGATTAACTACCTTCTCGGCTATCGGCGTACTCTGGTTTTCAGGATTTTTTTTTTTTTTTTTTGTTTTAGGTTGTGAGGTTCTTAGGCGATAGAAGCAATTATGCTGCTTCTCCTCCTTCTAGCGCAAATTGTTTCTGCAAGGATCCGACAACCCGGTCCAAAGCACGAGTATGTAACCCATTAAGCTCCTATCGGCCAGACGAGAACCTACACAAAGAGAAAGGATTAGCTAACCCTGGGGTGTTCCAGGGATAACCACTCCGATGACAAAGTCAATTTGTGATGATGAAGAAAGAGAAATTAGAGAGAGAAAGAGAAAGAGAAAGAGAGAGAGAGAGAGAGAGTGATTAATTACCCTCATTAATGACTCCTAACCTACTATTTATAATAAATATCAAGACAGGTGGCTACAAAACATGCAAAGCTTTTCCTGCCAAGTGTCAAACTGTTGTTGCCACGTGCCGAATACCGACAGGCCGATATGTCTGCTTTATCGAACATATCTGCCCATTTATCAGCTTTGCTGGGTTGAGATCCATATTTGTAAAAGATGTCGGTCCATTTTACATATCTTCCCATACAGTGTGTTGTGTATTTAAAGAATTTTTCTGGGTCTTTTTTTTTTTTTTTTTTGAAAAAAGTTTTCTGGGTCATTTTTAATGGGTAAATATTTTTTTAATTGTATGTTGTTTATTCGATAATTACTAGTGAATTTGTTTTTGATGAAATTAGGGTTATGTTTAAAATGATGAATATATTTCATTTTCAGAACTCTTCCTGGTAATCTTGTTGTTGGGATTATACTTAAAGAAATGGGATTATTGAAGAATCTTACTGTGTTGGATCTTGGAGCGAATCAGTTATTCAGGCCGATTTCTCGTGAGATAGGAAATTTGAGTATCGTTAAGAATATGTATGAAGATTATTTGGTGTCATTGCTTGTAGTTTGCTGTGTTTTTATTTGATTTTGTTTCTAAAATTAGCCCTTTTTTTTTTTTTTTTTTGTAGTAATCTACTGTCAAATGGATCGACTGGAATGCTATATCATGAGCTTGGCCACTTGAAGTCTCTTCAGGAGCTTCCCTTGGACAGAAATAAGCTCCTTGGAACTGTGCCTGGTGCTGCCACTGCAGATTACAAACCCAACATGCACGGAATGTAAGTGCAACGCAAAATTTAACAGGAATCTTCTATAGAAAACCATGGCTTGTCAAATAATTTTCTGATTTTTGTAGTGAATCTTTCAATAGCTTTTGTCTGTAATTGTCAATTAGTTGATATTCGTTCAGAGCATCTCAATTAATCTGTTCCTCAAAGAGTATAGATTAGAATTTATTGTAGGATGATGTAGTTCTGGTGAATGCTGGCAACTTCCCTTAAAATTCTGTAGTCCTTTCTCCTGGTGGGTCTTTAAAAAAAAAAAAGGTTTTAGAAGCTTATCAAAAATGCAGGGACTGAACTTAGTTATACTTTTCTTCGCTAGAATTTAGAAGCCCTGTTGAGTTTATTGAGAAGGTTTCCAGTGATTATAAAGTCCTGAGTAGCTTCAACTATTACAATATCCCACTGTTTTTTGAGAAGAGAGAATCTGCAGATCATGTGCCTTTGGCTTCTTTCAAACCATGCTATAGTTGACATAAAACAGAAAGCATATGATTGATACCAATAGTTTGTAACTAACAGTTAATCTAACTGATTTCTAAAAGTTGTGATAATGATGATTAGGGAGTATAGGGACTCTTGGGATAGCCCCTTATTATCTTAAACATTCTTTGCTTTCTTTTAATGTGCGAAATTTAGTGCTGTGTTGTTAATTTGGTTTGGAATTTTCAGGTATGCAACCGATGGGAATGCTACAGGTCTTTGTCACTTGTCTCAGCTACAAGTTGCTGAACTCTCATATAACTTTTTTGGTGGAAACATCCTGAAATGCTTGCCACATCTGCCAAGGTTGGTTTAGAAATGATATGCTCTTCTGTGCTACCACATTTTGTCATGCTCTCATGCATGCAAATGCTGACTTTGTTTTACATCTTCTGCAGCGCAAGCTTTCAGGGTAACTGTCTTGAGGGCAGGGGTTTGAAGCAGCACTCGGATGCACAATGTGGTAAGTAGAATTTAGACTCGAACATTATCTGCTCAATCTATTTCTCTTGCTTTATCCAATCAAGACTAGGAAGGTGGAAGAAAAGGAACTTTAAAAGGCTTTTTAAAATAAGAATTTATACTGACCTTCTAGGTCAGTCCAATCAGTCTTCAGAAAGAGTCAAAAAAAGGAAAAAACATAAACACTACTTGTATAATTCTTCAAAAAAAAAAAAAATACACACTATGAATGTCTATGATATCAGTTTAGAACTAACAATAGGTAAGAGCTGATTTTCTTTGGGAAACACTTAATAATGCAAATTTTATAACCTCTTTATAAGGTGGCTAACTCTGGTAATAGCATATGGATGATTTTATTTTTAAAACATGCTTCGACACGGAGGGGCCATGATTTATATTGTGCCTATCACAGGATCTTCTATATCTGCCAAATCTCATTCAAATTCCAATGCCAACGCAACGCATATAAAGAAATCAACATCATCTCTGATAACTACTTACTATAAATCATCTATAATCATCCCTTGGAAGAAATCTGGAAGTGATAAAGAACGCTTGGCGGTATATACTGGTAAGTTTTCCCTCTATCAACTATGCTCTGCGGTTACCTAAATAACATACATTAAAGCTATATTTTCTGATCAATTGTTTGCTCCTGATTTTTCTGTTCATTAAAATTTAATCATCAGATTCTGAGTTGTTGAAAGATATACAAAGATTCAACAGACAAGACCTTGAAGTAGCATGCAATATCATTGGATCTTCCTCTGATAGTATGATTTACAAAGGCACTACGAAAGGTGGATCTGAGATTGCAGTGATATCCTTCTGCGTCAAAGAAGAGCAGTGGACTGGCTATCATGAGCTTTATTTCCAGAGAAAGGTACTGCTGAAGTATTCTGTTTTGGCCCTGAGATAGTTTTGAGATTTTGATTCTTACTTGTTCAAACTATACCGTGATTAGGTGGCAGATTTAGCAAGATTAAATCATGAGAATGCTGCTAAGCTTCTGGGTTATTGCCGAGAGACTCCTCCTTTCACACGGATGCTTGTTTTTGAATATGCGTGTAATGGAACTCTGTATGAACACCTGCATTGTAAGTGAATTGTCCGCTTTCTCAATTAGTTGTGTCTGTCTTGCTCTTAAGTAACAGAAGTACTGATCCTGTGTTGAAATTGAAATTGAAATTGAAATTGTAGCCATGTTTGCGGATGGAGAGGGCTGCCAGCTGTCCTGGACTCGGCGTATGAAAATCATAAAAGGCATCGCCCGTGGATTGAGATATCTTCATACAGAACTTCACCCTCCATTCACTAGTGCTGTATATCTTACTGAAGATTTTTCACCCGAGGTTAGATACATAATTTTCTATTTTTTGTTTCTTTTCAAGCACTCTTTTGCGTTTTGGTTGAATATTTTATAACATTATAAATTACGAGTGGATGATATTTAAGTTATATGCTTGATATTATGATAATTGATCCAAGAACTATTGAATCAAACTTGAAACGTTTCTTGCAGCTGGTTGATTTTGAAAGCTGGAATACTATCATTGCAAGATCAGAGAAAAATTCTTCTGCCATAGATAGTAATGGTGCTATCTGTGTTCTGCCACATTCAATTGAGGCACATCATTTAGACATAAGGGGTAACGTTTATGCATTTGGAGTACTCCTGCTCGAGATAGTCAGTGGCAGACCTCCCTTCTTCAAAGACACAGGAAGCTTGGTAGATTGGGTATGAAACCTGGATTGCTGTTCTTTTGCAGTTATTATAAACTGCATTTAGTAAAAGCAAAGAAAAAAAGTTTGAATTAATAGTTTGTTTTTTGCTTCAGGCTAGGGAATATCTTGAAGTGCCTGAAGTAATGCCCTATACTGTAGAGAAACAATTGAAGCATTCTGAATATGAGGACCTCAAAGCGGTTTGTGAGGCAGCAAGACTTTGCCTGAATCCTGATCCTGTCAAGCGACCATGGACATGTTACGTCCTGTGCACTTTGCTGGAGAGCTGGATTGATCTCTTTATGTCAGCTGAGCTCAGATCATCTTCTTTGACATGGGGACTGTGGGCAGAACTAGCTCTCTTGACATGTTACAGTTCAAATTAATATACTGACAAACACATTCTGTATAGCTAGCTTAAAAGATGTTATGATGATACCTCTCTGGATTTTTTCATTCTTGAAGATCATGTAAAGCTGTTTTCGGCTTCTGGCTTAGGAAAATATATACTACTTATGGATAGGAAAACTTTGTGGGATGCCATAGGTGCTCCTGCCTAGAATGTACTGAGTATCTTACTAGTAGATTGATATTGCCAGAGTAAATGAAAATCACTTTGTCGTATTTCAGTGTCCCCTTGTTCAGTTGCAAGGTGAGCATTAAGGAAGTTGATGAGCTGATGATACATGTGAAAAACAAGAATTTGTCACACTTTGTAGATTGGACTTCGACCAATGTCAAGTCCACCGTACTGTACTGTCTGTGACATCCTGCAATAGGCTTTAATATGACATTCTGCCATACATTACCATGTTTTGCAGGAAGGCTTTCTTGTATAAAACTATAAAAGGTCTCTAATTCCTTAGGACTATATATTTGTAATGCTACCTTCCTAAAAGCTACAATGAGAATTGGCACTAAGAAGCGGCAGTCACCACTTTTCCTAATATTTTTATCCCATCGGGAGCAGGAACAGCTATAATGCAAACAAATTTACGGGTATATATGTTCTGAACCCTAACAAATGTAGTATTAATACTATGTAGAACATCAAGCATGAAAATTTTTAAAAAAAAATCAATAGCAACATAATAAATAAGACAATCGTGTAAGAGACTAACGAAACTTCTCTTTTGAGGAACAAAAATGAATTTGGAAAGTTATAAGAAAAACCAATCTTTTTTTCTTTAATCTCTAGTATAGTTCAAAAGAATTTGTTCAAAACTCAATAAATTGATACCTTCATTATAACTACATGATATTATAAAAGAATCAAATTATTTTGCTTTCACAATACATAAATTAATAATTTCCCTAATAAGATGTTATGTCTAATAATGAGGGCGTTCCACCCAAATAGGTGGAGTAATAAAACAAAACTGTGATGGACCTTTATAAAATCGATCAATGATTTTCTCATCCAATCTGTATACACCCATATCGCTTCCTCCTCCCAACTTAGAACTACAATAAGCCTCTATGTTGTCATCAGTAAAATAGATACAATTAGCCTTACAACCGCATTTATCCAAAGATGCATCTACAGAGAAGGTAGAAGATCCTAAGCCGACAAAGATGGCTCGTTTGCCCACACCCTCAACTTCTTTAGCTTTCCAGTTGTCAACATCCAACTCATATATCTCAAATTTAGTAGTCCTATAATGCGCTTCATCTATTTTCGGATAGTCCGGTTCATCATCATCTCCAGCTAAATGCACATACCTATGTATCACCAATAATGTACTTTCCGCTTCCACTAGGTATAACTGTCCTGTTGATTGTCTTAATAAAACACCTTGATCAATTAAGTCTACTACGGTTCCTGGTGGTTGTTTTGCTACCTCAACTCCAAAGGCTATAATCTTACCTAAATGATCAATGGCGTATAATTCCCCTTTGAAAAAACACACATCAAAAATCCAATTATTCGTTGTTGGAATAACAGTCCACTTGTGTTCCCCAGGTTTCCAAATAGCCAAACGTTGCGTTATGTCGAATATCATTGCAACTGCAACATCATCATCACAACAAGATGGTCACCCTGTTAGAATAAATTTGAAAAACTGGTATGTATAGCTTTCATCGTCCCATGGCTCGTCCCGTCGTAGCATGCAAAGTGGAAGACTTGGTGGCTTTATGACTTTTCCAGAAACGGGATCAAAAAGGGTGATGTTGCGGTTTCTCCTACTCACAGCAATAAGCCACCCCTTGGAAGAAAAAAATCTGTGGTGGTCATCATCTTCTAGTTGGGGAAGATCGAATTTTCGAAACATGCGTTTGGAGAGGCTGTAAAGTCTATGGTATGAAGAGGTAGGAGGGTCAACTAACATTAACCAAGGGTGTTGTGTGTTTTTAGACGGGCAGAAATTGACACCCTTCGTTGCATCTCTCCACTTGGAAGAAACCTCCGAAAGAGTTTCGAAATCTTCCAAAGATTCAACATGTTCTGTAGCAATCTTTCTAGCAATGTCTTGAGGGATATCACTCCAATTTGCCATACCAAATATTTGAAGTCAAAATCCAACTTGAGCAGACCTTCAGGATAAAACACAAAAAATAAGAATAAGAACAATTAAAACATAGTACCACTTGTGAAATAAAACATAGTACTTTGTCTAAAGTACAAAAAAACAAAACTTTGAAACAATGTAAAACAAGAATTTAAATAAAGCATTTAAACTATACCTTATCCACGTATCTTAGTGACAATCTTTTAATATTCATAATAATAAAAAAAAATTTGAAGCTACAATACAACTCTAGATGAAAAAACCCAATTAATATAGTCTAATTGATAAACCCAACTAATGATCGTTAATTCTAAGCTTCTAACAAATTGGCTATACTAATTTTAAATATGGAGTACCCGTACAACTTATTTTAATTTTAAATAAATTATTCAAGGAAAAACTCTGATAAGAACAGCTTCAAAACCAAACAGGCCATTAGCAAATTTTGTAAACAACTACCATTTAAATGATCACTTTTGAGACCAATTGGATGCCGGTGTAGTGGTGACACTTAATAAGAGAACCAGTATTCGATTTTCTGCAACAATAATTGAGAGGGGACTAAAACCTAACCAGTCAAAACTGATCCTGAATTCGAATTAGCCCAAAAGGTGAACCGGCTAGAACACCAAAAAAGAATGATCACTATAATTTTAAGAACAACTACCTATTAATTTTTTAAAAAAAAAAAAAAAAACTATCACAAAAACACAAGGTTACCACATTTTGTGTTCCGACAATAATCTCCGATTAAGTAACCTTAATTTATAACAAAATTGTAACCCTAAATTTTGTATTATAATTCAATTGCACCAAATCTCCCAATTTTGTAAAACCCTAAATTGAATATTTTGACATAACCCCTAATTTTAATATTCATTTGAGAAATTAAATCATCTATAATGAGAAATTAAATACAATTAACCTATAATTGTGTCTGTGTTCGTGCATTGAATTCCATTGTTATTTCTACCAATAAAGTAAACCCCATCAACCGGAGATTTTTGCCGGAAAACCAAAAGCGGTAATGCTAGTTAAAGGCTTATTTGGCATCATTTTTGGATTTTGGAAACAAAAAAAATAAGAAATAAGAAAAAAGGTGTTTCCACTTTTTTGTTGTCGGCTTTCAAAATTATTATGATTTTAATAAGTTTAAATAATTTTAATTCATTATATGACATATATCATATACTTTTATGCAATAAAAAACCAAAAAACAGATAACCAAAGTAATGTCAAACGAACTCTAAACTTTTTGTGTTTTTATTGTAGTTCTTTCATAAAACATCTAATTTAATAGGTAATTATTTTCAAAAGTGGTTATTTAAATGGTAGTTATTATTGAAAAATTTTCCAACCATTTAAAAGTTGAAAAATAAATAAATAAGCTTGAAATTCAACCAAAAAGCTTTATATCAATATCAGTTCGTGTTCAAATTTTGGCTGATGTTGATTTAATAAATTGATTCCCCGTGTTTGTCAACATATCAGTTCGTCTAATTCTGAATGTAAATTAAAAATATATCAAACTTCAATCCAACCAATTAAACTTTTATCAATATCAATTCATCTAATTCTGAACGCAAATTATAAAATAATAATAATTATTATAATACATCAAACTTCAAATCCAACAAATTATCACTATCAATTTGCCTAATTCTGAATAATAAAAAATTAAGAAAAAAACCTTCAAATCCAATCGATTAAATAAAAAATGAATCTCAGTTCGTCTAATTCTGAAAGCAAATAAAATAAAAATCAATTCTTATAATTCTGTATACATAAAAAAAAAAATAAAAAAAAAAAAAAACCTTCAAATCCAACCAATTAAACTTATTTCAATTTGTTTGATTCCGAATAAAAAAAAAATTAAACATTAAATCCAACCAATTAAACTAATATCAACATCAGATCGTCTGATTCTGAATGAAAAAAAAAAAAAAAAAAAACACTTGAAATCCGACCAATTAAAGCAAATCAATATTAATTCGTCTAATTATAAATACAAGAAAATAAATTATGTGGTATAAACAAAATTAAGAAATCGATATTTACAACAAAAAAAAAATACAGTATTAAAAAAAGAGTAAATTGGAAGAGAGAACAAACCTTAGGAATAGAGTGCAGCAGCCAAAAGTATTGAAGATGGAGAGTTTTTTTTTACTCCGTATTAATTTTTTTTTTTTTTTTTGTTATAAATAAGATGAGGGAGATCGAAGAAGAGTATACGAGGTAATTTTTTTTAAAAAAAATAATAAAAAATAAAAAAGAGTATATGAAGACAAAGAGGACAAGAGGTACCGTATATATATAATTATAAAAATACATTAGTATACTTCGCATAGGAGTAAACTTTTTTTTTTTTTTTTTTTTTTTTTGAGAAATAAAACTTTCCTATTTCTAGTTTTCTACTCTGCGTTAAAAGGGGATTTTTCCTCCAAAAAAAAAATTAAAAAATTTGAAGCGGTTTAATAGGCGTTAAGTTTGAGATCAAAAGCAGTTGGCGAAGTAATCAGTTGGAATTTGAAAGTCTTAAAAGAGTTAGAAGTCTTAGAACTTAGGGTAAGTTTATGGCAAGTCTTGAGCAAAGTCTCGATATAAGTCTTACTCGACATTCTTGTAATAAACTCATCTAAGATTCATGTGAGTCTTACTAGGAGTTTGGAAAATCCAATCTCATGTCAAGAGTCAAGATTTTGTAAGGCCAATGAAAATTAGTCACCTCATCAACTAACCAAAAGTTTACAATAATTTTTTAAAAAATAAAAAAAGTGTTGAAAAATAAACCTCTCAAGTGTCACCACATGTAAGTGTCCCACATTGGTTAAAGAAGAGAGAATTAAACACTTTATAAGGTTAAGGGGATACTTCTCCTATCGTCATATGGTTTTGGGATGAAACCTCCTTTGGACTTGTGATATAGACTCTCTCTCTTGGTTTGAGGGGTGCGGCCTAGGCCCGCGTTTATCATGGCCCAGAATACGTTAAAATGAACATACGTTTTTTTTTCTTCCTTATATCTTAATTCTCTTTCTTCTTCTTCTTCTTTAGCTCTATTATTTTTCTCTCTCTTCAGTTTTCTTCTCAATTTAACATTTTCTCTCTCCTCTTTACCTCATTTCCCTTCAATCTTTAAAGTTTTCTTCTTCTTTATATAAATTTTTGAGTTACTAATTCGTGTTTTGATGAGTATACTTTTTTCTTTCTAAATCTATGAGTTTCAGATTCAATCATTTGGCTTTATCAAAGAGGAAAGAAAAAAATAAAGGAGAGAGAAAGTTGAAGGTCAAAGAAAACAATGGAGGTTAGATTTTATCAATTTGTAATTGTATTTTGTATGATTTCGTTGACCATGCATGATGATTTATTTTTTGATTGTTTGAAATTATTATGAGTTTGTGATGAATATCAATTAAATTGCTTAATTGTTAATGAATATCAATTGTATTGCTTAATTTGTAGTTATTTTCTCTCTCTATCTATCTCTTTCTTTTGATTTTTTTTTTCTTTTGATTTCTAATCATGTTACAAATCAATAATTAATTTCTCTATGATGAATCAAGATTAAATTTAAGGTGTATATTCAATTTTTTAGAGTTTCAATAATTACAATCGATCTTGAATGTAATTTCTGTAAAAAAAAAATGAACACGTAGGAATTTAAAAATGAACAACTTTTACAAAATGAGCATTTGGTACACCGAAAATGAATATTAAATACATAAAAAATGAACATATTTCAACAATTTATTTTATCATTATTTTTCATTAATAATTATATACAATGAATTTGAACTTTTATGAAAATCATGTTTATTTTAGTATCCTAAATGTTCATAACTTTTTGTTACATGTTCATTTTATAAGTGTTTATTTTTTAATACTAAATGTTCGTTTTTATTAAGTTGAAAGTAAAATATAATACGTTGAAAGTTAAATTATCTGAACATTTAGTGTTGAAATTCTGAACAATTTATTATGAATATATATGTTTCGTTATTCATTACGAACATATCTATTATTGATTATGAATACATATGACATATAGAGTGATAATTATTTATATTTTTAACTTTTGTATTGATGATTATATATTATGAACATTCTAAATAATTATTATGAACATATGTTGTGATGGTTATGAATTTTGATTATTTGTTATATTTTAGTGAGTACAGATTAATTGTATTTGTAGAAGACAAAGACTCTGAATTAGTGAAGAAACAAGTAAGAAGTGATGAAGAAGTATATGATATTACAATGAATTTGCCTTTAAGTTGGAGAATTTCTGATGTATATGATCCCAATTTTATGGTTGTATGATAAATGTTCATTTCTAATATATTAAATGTTCATTTTTGTACGTGTTCATTTTTATTACTGAATATTCTTTTTTTTTATGTGTTCATTTTTCTAACTAATTGTTCATTTTAAAGGTCGTGGTCTAGCAAATTTATGATTATATGATAATCAGATTCATTTTTAATAAATGATCATTTCCTTGTAACATATAAACTTTTTAATATTAAATGTTCATTTTTTTTTACGTGTTCATTTTTTGTTATTAAATATTCATTTTTTTCATGTTCATATTTTTTAACTAAATGTTCATTTTTTATTTGGGCCGCGCGTTTAGGGCCTCACTTGTCAAGACCAATTGCTTAATGCCATTAAAGGTCCCAAAGTTTGGGCCTGGCAATATACTCTAACCTTTAGAGGTCCCATACTGTGGGTCTGGCTCTAATACCATGACAGCTTAACAAAAAGACATTTTACAAAAAAAAAAAAATATATTTTGAAGAGGATTAAGTGAGTTTGGAGTAAGTATTGAGATAATGTGTAAATTTAGAGAAAGTCTTGTATGAATCTGAATAATATAAAAATATTTTAAAGTTAGTGGAAAGCTGATGTGACAAAGTATTTTAAACTAGTGTCAACTATCATTTGTCTAGAAGGTTTTTTTTTTGGTAAATCCATCACTTTATAATACTATAAGAATTTTCTTTTTTTTTAAAAAAAAAAAGGAAATAATATTCATTAATTGCATGGAATTACACATAATTTTGTCATTAATCCGATAAAGTTTCATTTCTAATTAAATACAAGAAAATGCTAACTTATCAGCTAAAAGTCCCTAAACATTGACTTAAAAATTACACTTATAAATTATTTGCCACATGTATTCTGAAGTCCCTAAATTTGTTGATTGTGTTGTATTGTATCGGAAAAGTGATCATTGGTGGTTGAGACTAGCATTATAATGAAGACATACTTCAACCATTTTGCCTCATTTAAAAGTTAAGAGACTACATGGTTCCTTCACTATTAAATCTGCTTATCATGCCTCCACTACTCCTCCATCCAACCCTTACAAGTTCCAACTCCTTTTCTCCTTAATTTTCCATGGTCTGTCTTATGGTAAATTAACACCCCTTTCAAATATTAAATGTTGCTTTGGAACATAGCTAGGGGAATTCTACCAATTGGTGACGTCCTAGCTAGAAAATTCCCAAATTTGCACTAGGTGTTATGCTCCTAATGAAGACATGATTCAACAGTTATATTGTTCCGTGACTGCCCAAACTACTCTACTTTTAAGAGTCTTATTTTTAAGAACCATCTTCTTAAAAAATTTAATCTTCCTAATATTTACAACTGTGATTTTCAAGCTTAGCTTACACTAGGTGAAAAAACAAAATTGGCACCGGTTCAAAACCCCTCAATGCCACCGGTTTTGAACCGGTGCCAATTTGGGGGGTGCCAATAAGTGCATGAAAAAGCCACCAGTTTGAACCAATGGCAAAACTCGGAATTGGCATCGGTAAGCCCAAAAAAAATTAATTCAATGTTTTTGACACCGGTTAACCGGTGCCAAAAGTGTAAAAAAAAAATCATTTTTTTTGGTCTTTTTTCACTTAAAAATTAAATAAACTAAAATAAATAAGAACATCAAAATAAAAATCGGATATCAATCAATATAATCGAAAATTTACAATATATAATCAAAAAAATTTTACAATATAGATCAATAACAACATATAAATAAAAAAAAATACAATATAAATCAAAAAAAAAATTACAACATCACAATCAAAAAAACCCCATACAACATCTAAATCAATATTCTTGCATCTTGATTCTTGCATCAATATACCTGCACCAATTAAAACAAACAAAAAGAAAATCGATTAAAATAAATTAGTTGCGAAAAAATATAATAAAAAAACCCAGAAAATAAAAAAAAAATCGAATTAAAATCGATTAAAATTTTTTTTGATTTAAATAAAAACAAAAATAAAAAATCAATTAAAAACCCAGAAAATTAAAAAAAAAAAAAAAAAAATCACTTCAGAAAGGTCTTGACATTACCACTTCATTATCACTTCTTCTCTCCACCAACTCACCAAGTCTGACTACCTCCTACACTAAGGAGTTAACCAATACCTTGCCCTTGGTGAATGGCTCCAACTGATGTGCTGTTTCTTGAGAAAGGTCTTGACAGGACCTCCCAACTAATATTGCTACGTACTATCTTGTTTAATTTTGCTACGTACTATCTTGGTTAATAAAAAAAATTACCTTCACTGCTTCCTTAGTTTAATTTTCCTTGTTCTTAATGCTTTTAGTGGGGCACTTCAGTCTTCACACTTGGATGAGCTTGTGCGGTGGTGCTCTGGCGTTGACTATCACGTGTTAGTCACCTAACGTATTTTAAAAATAAAAAAAAATTCCAAATTTTCCTCCTTTCTCGACCTAACCCTTTCATAGTATTCTCACGGAGGTCGGAAAATGAGGGAAATTTGGGGATTTTTTTAAATAAATCACGTCACTAACACGTGATAGTTAATGCTAGAGCTCCGACGTTGACCACCACGCAAGCTCACCCAAGTATCCCATACAAACAAAATGCAACTTAAAACTTTTTCACAAGTTTTCACTTAAAAGATCCTTTTTCAAAAAGTCGACCACTTAAGGTCTTTTTTCACAATTTCCTCAATATATATTTACTTAAGGTTTTTTTTTTATTATTTTGGTGTTTCACCCGATTCACCCTTTGGGTTAATCCGGATTCAGGGGTTGGTTGTGGGTGGTTAGGTACCAGTCCCCTCCCAATTGTTGTTGCGAGGGATCGAATACGAGTCCTCTCTACCAAATGTAGTCTTATTGGTACTTAGTAAGGTAAAATTATAATTGCTTTAATTTGCAGTGAGTTATAATATTGTGTATATTCAAAACCATTGCATTAATATATTAAAATCAAACTTGGACTATTTTTTTTTAAGTGAAGAAAACATGTCCTTTAATTAGTTTGACCTTTGCATTATTAAGGTAAAAATGCATGTAAAGAGATTCAAACCTAAACTTCATTGAATGAAAACCACATGCATTACCATCTTAGCTAGAATTAAATTATAATCTATTTATCCACATTTATGTATAAATACATGTAGTACAAGTATTATAATGTAATATAGAAACAAAAAAAAAATTCCAAAATGAGTAATTGTTGTCATTGTTTTCAAATTTACCACGTAAAAAAATTATGAAGTACGTCTTTTAAA